TTCACCCCGGTGACTTCGGTGACCGACGACGAATCCGACGACCTCCCCCAACAGGTGAGTCATCTCCATGTGCGAAGACTTACAAGGTATACACGTATTAAAGCTCATCTTGCGCTCTTGCAGGTTCGCTCTCCTGGCCGCCTTGCGATGACTCGCTCTCCGCCACCTGTTCCGATTAGCCGCTCCTATACTTCCTTTAGTTCTAGTCAGCCGAAGCCTGCGGCCAATTCATCCGCCACCGCCTCATCCTCGGCCTTTATGACGAAGGCCCAAATACGCGATACGGTACCGCTTGACCTCCGCTGGTACTCGGTCACCGTGGGCTCCAAGATTGGGGTGGTACAAGGATGGTGAGTGATCTGACTTCGCGCCGATCTACTTCACTGATATTAGGTGACATTGAAGGGATCTCGTTCGTGAGGTTGCGTCGTTCCCCGGCTCGAAAAGTGAATTGCACGCAAGCGACGCGCACGCCTGGAAACACTTTTATCAGGTCTTGCTGAAAGGTTCTGTGCGTGTCCTGATTGACGACGCTCTCGTCGAAGTACCCTCGCAGTTCTTGGAGAGCTTTAGGGACTACATGTTTTAGCCGTTGGCTGGCGTCTGCGTCGCTTATGCCCTCGAACCCGTTTCTCGTATATCGATTGTTCCCTGTTGTCGCGCGTATCACATTGCCTACTCAAATACACGATGATTGGCATATAAAACGAATGACATGGCGCCTGTGAGTTTGAGAGATGAGCAAGTACGCACAGCAAATCAAAGCCGATATCGAAACCAGTCCCGGAACCAACGTAAGATATGCATGGATTTCATGTTTCACGATATGCCGGAGCTGCTGAAGAAATCAGGAAATGGTCGTGTGGACTACGCCAGTATATTATATGTCATGTATACGGTCTAATCGCGTAGGATCGTGCATTATGGATAGAAGAAACGTATAACGGCACATTGTGCTCACGTTGAGTATGCGCTCGCGTTGCGCCGCCTGCAGATATACATATCTCATTCGGATTCCGGACTAACCGCATTGTTCCAGAGTAATTTGAGGTGGACAGTTATTCATAATGGATCTATACATGTGCTATCGATTTCCTGCCCGGATGTAAGACAATCGGTATCGAACAGAAGGAGGTTTGATCGCGAACACAGTTTCTATGCCCGATGAGAGGGCGGCATAGTACTAAATCGAAGTTGTACATCGACGATCTCTACCGCATACAGTACCACCACAGCTACTAGCAAACAGTGAATGATGTACTGAAACACAGATGCCTAGACCGGAGTGCTAGCTTGGATGATAGGCAAACAACTCGAGGAGGAACTGCAAGACGATTACTATCGGTCTCGGTGATCGTCATGCATGTTCCTCATAGTGAGGAACTCGTGCGGTGTTCATGCATCAACAATACTCACCGAATCCATGTCTTCGACTCTTTGAGATCTTCTTCAACAGCGATCTGGTTGAATCATCGGAAGGGTCGACTGTTACATGGTACATACATGCATGCAACACGTGTGGGTCCAATCATATGCGCACCGATATTCCCACTTATCCTCTCCCCAGCTCCGCCACGTCAGATGGCCAAACGACCCTCCGCCGGTGAATCATCAAAGCCCAAGAGATCCAAGGTTCACGCGCCGCCTCCACCTCCCAATGCACGTAGAGACATTGCTCGGTCAGTTCAGATGACACTTCTACGAAGGACGGTGCAAGGAAACTTGGGGTCACGCTCAATCTCATCCGCGACTTCGTCTTTGTCGAGGACGCTTGCACCCGAGGACAATGCAGATGTCAATGTTGGCGAAGTCGATGCGAACGAAGATCCGAACCTTGGCGAATTCTTCGTCGAGTTGAATGCAAGCTTAATGAATGGCGCCGACGAAGGGGATGAAGACGAAGAGGAGAATTCGGTGTCATCACTCACCGTGCGTTAGTTCTTCTCCGGTTTACTCCCTACTGACTTCTCCCAGGAACACGTCCGAGAGTGGACAACATCCCACCGACAACGTTGGTTAGAGGAGCTGCACCTCATGGACGCGCCGTCTGGTGTGTCTGATCGCGACTCACTTCTCTGTCGATGCGGTCAGGCGTTGGGATCATCTCGCTGCTGCAAATGTTTCAGTTACGGTCTTCTCTGCTCAGCCTGCATCGTGGCAGACCATCGTCTGCTGCCGCTCCACACATCGAGTAAG